TCCTCGCTGCAATAGTCGCGTCCACGGTAAGGGAGACTGTGGATTTCACAAGAAGCTGGCCAGCATGTGAAGTCTCTGGAGTGCACCTTGGAGTGCAACATCGGCATCAGCGGGATGACGTGGGAGAGACCAGCGTGCAAAGCAACGCGTTTCGGAGCCCAAGCTCAGCAATCTTTATTGGAAAAGCAGCCGTGTTCCAGCAACGGTCTCAGCAAGAATTGTCAGAGCTGAACACGGCTGCTTTTCTAATGAAGATTGCTGAGCTTGGGCTCCAAAATGCGTTGCTTTGCACGCTGGTCTCTCCCACGTCTTCCCACTGATGCCAACATTGCGTTCCAAGGTGCACTCCAGATGCCATCTTTAGAGACTTCACATGCCGGCTGGCTTCTAGTGACTTCCACAGTCTCCCTCAGCGTGGATATGGCTATTGCAGCAAGGACTCGGCCATTACCTCATTTACCTGAGCTTTCTTATCTTTTTCACCATGTGAGTGCTTAACATTGCTCCCTAGTAAATGTTTAGACATACTACGCTTAAAGGCACTTTTTTCTTCCTTTATCTTTACTCAGGGCCTGCTACAGCTATAAGATCTTGCCCTAGTGCTATATGGAGTTATTTTGCATTATATGACATTGCACTTTATGAACGTTTATTTTGTGTCCCTTAACAGGATTTGGGGAATCTGTATGCGCTGTGTTTTTTTTGTTTTTCTTTTTGCTTGTCATGTCTGAGTTCTGTTTTCTGCTATGAAAAAACAGACAATAGTTGCACACTTCACTAGTATTTCAAAGATTTCAGCCAGATTGTGACCTATACAGAAATTGGAGACATGGTGAGATGTGTAGCTCTCCGCATGCATGAGCATGTGTGCTTCTATTACCCAAGTGTGCATATTTACAGTGAGGAACAGAAGTATTTGAACACCCTGTGATTTTGCAAGTTCTCCTACTTAGAAATCATGGAGGGGTCTGAAATTCACATTGAAGGTGCATTCCCAATCAGACAGAATTAAAAAAAAAAAATTCAGGAAATCACATTGTATGATTTTTAAAGAATTTATTTGTCTTGCACTGCTGAATATAAGTATTTAAACACCTAAGAAACAGCAAGAATTCTGGCTCTCAAAGACATGTTACTGTGCATTTTAAAAAGTCCACCTCTACTCCACTCATTAATCTAACTTAGTAGCACCTGTCTGAGCTCTTTAAAGACACCTGTCCACCCCACAGTCAGTCAGATGCCAACTACTACCATGGGCAAGACTAAAGAGACACCAGAGACAAAATTGTGGACCTCCACAAGGCTGGTAAGGGCTATGGGGCAATTGCCAAGCAGCTTGGTGAAAATAGATCAACTGTTGGAGCAATTGTTAGAAAATGGAAGAGGCTAAAGACGACTGTCAGTCTCCCTCGGACTGGGGCTCCATGCAAGATCTCACCTCGTGGGGTATCACTGATGATAAGAAAGGTGATGAATCAGCCCAGAACTACAAGGGAGGAGCTGGTCAATGACATGAAGAGAGCTGGGACCACAGTTTCAAAGGTCACTGTCGGTAGAACACTACGCCGTCATGGATACAAATCATGCATTGCACGGAAGGTTCCCCTGCTCAAGTCATCACATGTCCAGGCCCATCTGAAGTTTGCCAATGACCATCTGGATGATCCAGAGGAAGCATGGGAGAAAGTCATGTGGTCAGATGAGACCAAAGTAGAACTTTTTGGTCTAAACTTCACTTGTCGTGTTTGGAGGAAAAAGGATGAGTTGCATCCCAAGAACACCATCTCTACTGTGACACGTAGGGGGTGGTAACATCATGCTTTGGGGGTGCTTTTCTACAAAGGGGACAGGATGACTGCACTGTATTAAAGAAAGGATGAATGGGGCCATTTTATTGTGAGATTTTGAGCAACAACCTCCTTCCCTCAGTCAGAGCATTGAAGATGGGTCGTGGCTGGGCCTTCCAACATGACAACGACCCGAAGCACACAGCCAGGATAACCAAGGAGTGGCTCCGTAAGAAGCATATCAAGGTTCTGGAGTGGCCTAGCCAGTCTCCAGACCTAAATCCAATAGAACATCTTTGGAGGGACCTGAAACTCCGTGTTGCTCAGCGACAGCCCCGAAACCTGACAGATCTAGAGGAGATCTGTGTGGAGGAGTGGGCCAAAATCCCTGTTGCAGTGTGTGCAAACCTGGTCAAGAACTACTGGAAACGTTTGACCTCTGTAATTGCAAACAAGGCTTCTGTACCAAATATTAACACTGATTTTCTCAGGTGTTCAAATACTTATGTTCAGCAGTGCAAGACAAATAAATTCTTTAAAAATCATACAATGTGATTTCCTGAATTTTTTTTTTTTTTAATTCTGTCTCTCAGAGTGGGAATGCACCTACAATGTGATATTCAGACCCCTCCATGATTTCTAAGTGGGAGAACTTGCAAAATCGCAGGGTGTTCAAATACTTCTGTTCCTCACTGTATACCATGAGCTGTCATACTTCATTGCAAGCTTATCTGAGGAGTGTAATTGCACTTGGACAAGAAACTCTAACCAGGCCTATTGACAATTTCCCTTGATATCAATCGACCTGTAGTCTCTAGTTACTGCTGAATATATCTGTGGAAGCTGTGATCATTCCCTGAGCCTGCTTAGGTCAAGAGATAGTCATCTAAGTTGTATGGGCAGGGTATTTATTACCTCCTAAAATGTTACACTGTCACTTCTGGCAGCCCTTCTTCTGTTCTCAGAGGGTAGGCTGAAGTATTTTTTTTTTTTTTTAATAAATAAAGTGAACCTGTACCCTTTGACTATACACATCCTGAACAGGCAGAAAAAGCACTTTTAAATAGGTCTCCATCCTCCCTGAGCACATAGAGAATCCTAAAAAGATCTTATTACATAGTTTCCTTAAAACTGCCAACCAACTAATAACTTTCTTCTAGAAAACCATGTCTTCTCCCACCTTACCATTATGGGTGAGTACTGTTTGGCCTTATTTAGACATTTGGTTGGGGGGAATGGTAAAAATACATGGTTGAACCATGTTTTTGCTGCCAGCCAATGCCCCCCCCCCCTTAAACTGCAACAGGCAGTGGTAGAATGTTTACATGCTGCAGTTTTTCATGCTTTGCAACCGCAGCAAAGTCTACCCAAACATGTAGCAATCAGCGGGCGGCAAGCCTACTGAACGCGACACATTCAGGCAAAATCACGGCACACGCCCTGCCATCACTATAACCGAATTAAAATACCTGATCAACCCTTCCCCAGAGTAGTACAGTGTCACTGTGCCACTTAACTGCTCTGATGACAGGATGTAAAAATAAAATTGGAAAAAAAGAAAAAAAAAATGTAAAAGCAGTTTGAAAAGTTAAAGATGCAAAGTGGACATACACATTGTACATGAACTTTGTATTTGTTATTATTTAAAAACATGTTGATCCCTTATTCACTTCTGCCAGCAGAGAGCACTAACGTGTCATTTATACTCCTGCAGCTTTGTCACGATTTTTTTTGGCTGCATTACAGTTATATAATGTTTGAAACCTAGTAGGCCAAGAATGCAAGTACCATGTCAGTTTATTAGATGTCAGGCTATTTATTTTCACATCTCAGCTAAGGGCCTATTAATTCAGCAATTACCCTGCCATTTTTATGACACAGAAGTGATGGATATAATTTTTTTTTGTTTTTTTTTTTTGCATTTGAGAAAAACAAACTTTGTTTCGTTTTTAAATGTTTTATATATTTTAAAAGTAAAAAAAAAAAACAACTTTAAAGTGCTATAAAGGAAAAGGAAATATAAGGAAAAAAAAATACTCAAAAGGTATAGATTATAAAAGAAATAACTTTTGAACTTTACTTTAGCAACTGTAAAAAAACAAAAAAGAATTAATTAGCTGTTCCTGAAAGCTTTACTTAGGTACTATGTATTTTTGTTTAAAATGTAACATGCGCTGCCACTGTGTAGTACCTGCTGCATTTGTCAGTGCAGAAATAACTTCTGTACATCCTAAGTTCTTAACTAGTTAAATATAGTCTGATGGAATATTTTTCCTTTTTTTTTCCTTTTGGATTTCTCTCAAGGACTGATTCTTATTTTAGATATTGTTAAAATGTAGCCCTTAAAGTGATTGTAAACCACCACCTTGTAAAACAGCCCATTTGTATGTTATAAATTTGCATTATAAATACCTCTGTTCTCAGCTGCATAGGAGGCTGATGGAGGAAAAACTGTATCACACTGATCTTCCCATTCAAGTCTGTGCAGGGAAGGAAGGGGGGGGGGGGGGGGGCATGCCAGCAAAAGTCTGATCATTGAAGCAGAGCAGGCTAAATTCCCAGTACAGCTAGAGAACTGACCATGCTGTGTTCTCCTGTTTTTGGTGTGGTCAGTTTTTAATAGGAAAGCAGAGGGACTAGCAGGGACACCAAGGATTTCACACAAATGTAGCAATACAAAGAGAACAGGTTACTTTTTCATACAAGTACACGGTACAGTAGGCACATATCAGGAATATGAAATGTTGGGTTTACATATTCTTTAATATTAGCCTGTCACAGAACCATGTCCTTTAGGTCTCCACACTAAAACTAGGACAATTTTTGAAAGCATGCTACAACCAACTTATAAAAACATATCCAAATTTTATTTATACAAGGTATTAAATTATTTAAAAAGTCAACCATGAATAAGATAAACTCTGTAATCCATTTGTTTAGAAGGGAGAACCCTTATGAAATAGATATTTCTAGTGTGAATAGATAAGCATTTCGACATAATGTATTTAAATGGGTTTACCACCATTCACTGCTCGACATATTTGCGGTGGACCAATGCAATATGGGTTGTTGAACTACATAAACAAAAAATAGTTCCCACATCCACTCAGAGACAAATGTGCCACCAAGCCTGTATATACTTTTTTTTTGCTTGCATAATCTCTTTACTTTGTAAGCGTCTAGTGCGGGTGTCGGCAACCCGCGGCTCCAGAGCCGCATGCGGCTCTTATTTTTTCACCTTTGCTGCGGCTCCGGAGCACACTGCCCACCAGGTGACAGGCAATAGGGTTGCCGTAGCTCAGTGGTCGGCAAGCCGCGGCTCTTTTAACCTCCCTGGCGGTTTTCCCGAGTGTAGCTCGTGGTAGAATTTCTATACCACGAGCTACACTCAGGCTTACCATGCGGCGCTGCTCTGGGGGTCCCTGCAGCACTTACCTTGTCCTTCGTTCCCGCGATGTGTCCCCTGCAGCGTCCCTGGCCATCTCCTCCGGCCGATGCCGGCATCCGGCTTCTGTGTTCCGGTCCCCGTGACGTCGGGACGTACGGGCGCCGCCACCGGCGGGAAATTTAAAAAATTTAAAAAATGTCAATTTTTTTTTTTTTTTTTCAATTTTCAATAGTAACACATTGCTGTTTCATCCCATTTCACATACATATTGTCCCTAGTGCTTTGTCCTGTGCCCTGCCTGCATTTTGTCTGTTCTTTCTGCCTGGAAACTTAGAAAAGTCCATGGCATCCAAAAAGCGTCCCTTTAGGTCAAAAGCGGTTTTAGACCGGCTAGAGAACAGCGATAGTAAATCAGAACCACTTGCAGAATTGAGTGATAATGATTTGTGGGGAAATTTTCCTAAAAATTACAGCCTACAATAAAAAACTATTTCCATGCGAAAAAATGGTACCGCTTTCAGCACAAAAAATCGGAAGGAATCATACCGCCAGGGAGGTTAATGCAGCTCTTCTGTGTGCCGGGCGCCCGCTCCCCTCCCTCCTCTCGGGCGGCCACCCCAAAAGTCAGGACTCTGCAGCTAGCCTAGCAATGGGCAAACTACGGCCCGGCGGACCTTATAATCCGGCCCGCGGAGCGTGGCAAACATTGGCTGTCAGGATGTAGGCGGGGCAGCGTGACGAACTCCTCTCCTCTCACAGTCAGCCCTGAAGACCAGAACTGCGCGGGAACACACGGCGAGAGGAACGCGCGCGGAGTACAGGTAAGTGAATTGACACAATATGGGAATGAATTACTATAGGGGGGATGAATTAACTATAGGGGGGATGAATTACTATAGGGGGGATGAATTACTATAGGGGGGATGAATTACTATAGGGGGGATGAATTACTATAGGGGGGATGAATTACTATAGGGGGGATGAATTACTATGGGGGATGAATTACTATATGGGGGATGAATTACTATATGGGGGATGAATTACTATATGGGGGATGTATTTTCAGTTTTAAAAATGTTTCTCTCAAAATAAATTTCAATCGTGGTTTTGGCAAGATTTGGCTCAGTCGAAAAAAAAGGTTGCCCACCACTGACCTAAGGCTATGATTGTGATTATGACGATACACTGTGGCCCTGATTAACCCTTTGCTTACTGGGCCCTTAAACCCCCTTCATGACCAGAGCGTTTTTTGCAATATATGCAGTGTCGGATTTGTTTTAAATGTTTCAATGGTTTTGCGGCTCCCAGTCTTTTTTTTCCCTCTCGGAAACGGGTCCAAGTGGCTCTTTATGTCTTAAAGGTTGCAGACCCCTGGCCTAGATCTTGGAATACTGCATCTGATCCCCACTGGACATTGCAGGAATATCCTAGAATGGACCTTCAGTCCCAAGTTCCATACTGGGCACTTTCCAGACTTTGTTTTGGTATTATTTTGCTGCAGAGCATTTTCCAGGGCCAGAACTACTAGCATTGCCTGAATGCTTTGTTCTATCTATGAAGACTCAGCAAGTAGGCCAGTTGAGCCAGGCAGCGGGACATACCTTACTTGTTTAAGTCACTAGGCTCTGTTGTTCCCCATTTCCCATTGGTTTATCCACAGAAGTGGTTAAACACTGTGGGATTGGGCACAGACATCATCACTGGACGGAGTATCACACATGCCCCGTGCTTTTTTTTTTTTTTTTTCCCAGCCTTACAGCATTGAGGAAGCATCTTCCCAATACTTCTAATGTACATTATATTATGCATTTTTTCTGACACTTGTAATGTTGTCAGGTTTTACCTGTGGTGCAATTCTTGCTATATAATTTGACTATCACGCAACAATTATATCTTGTAATAATCAATAGTGACCAATAAAGTTCATGATTTGTTCTCTGAGAAAATTAAGGAATCTGGTTACCATGGGCAATATCTATAATGTGTTTCCCATTTTCACTGTTGTTTTTTTATAAGTAGGCACGTAAATGCATTTTTGCATGACTTGTGAATAGTCTTCTCTGTATTATATTTATCCCAATCTGAATACATGCTATTATAAGAGAGACGCAATACCACTTGATAGTATGAGTCATTTGATTACCTTGCAATAATTTTGCTATAAACTGTCAGTGAATTTGTAGATTCTCTTCAGAAATATAACCCAGAGCCAACAGTGTAATAAATTATTCTGAAGTTATTGTCAGAGGTCATTGCTCTTGCCTCTGTGTTTAGTGCATGACAAAATATCAATGTTGCCTTGCTGGGGAAAAAATGTTTCTATGAATACAGTAAACCCTTATACGTTATTTGTTGGTGGGCTTTTTTGTTAAGATCTCCCCAGTGGACAGTTTTTAGTCATGGTACAAACACCAGGAGGAGTAAACCTAAGGTCTAGAAGAATGAAGAAATGGCCCATTCCATTTACGCCCACTCCATTCAGTAATAAGCTTTTGCCTTTGCTTGGTTAGAGAGGTGGTAGACCTCATTAAGGTGAAACTACACTGCATCTGAGCAACACAAACCAAAAACGCTATTTTAATTAATTTGTAATATGCAAAGCAACTCGCCTATCTATCCTTATCGCCATGCTTTATTTTGCTGAGAAATTACGTTGAAAACCTCCCCCTAGCATTTCTTGAGTAAGGGCAGATGATTCATGTAGCAGTTACTTCCTGGAATCCATCTGCCCTTGGCTCAAGCATGCATTCAGGAGGGTGTCCATAGCTGAAAAAAACCCTCCTGAATACTCCTGGGATGTATGACATAATTTGCCTAGGTCTGGAAACCGGGAGGCAACTGAAGAAATGTAACAAAAACAGTCTATTTACTAATGCTAGCAGCATAAGGATTAAAATAGTAAGTGTTGATTAACCACTTGTGGATATGTACTGTGGGTGGGCGGCATGGCCAGGCTGGATCACGTACGTGTACGCAATCCAGCCTGTGCGGGTTAGGGGCATGCAACGTGCGCCACTCCTGTGACACAGTGGATCACAATTACCGTAACAAGGTATCGGATATCGTGGTCATAGCAATCACATGATGCCAATGTAAACAAATTGTCATGAATGGATTTCCATTCATGAACAGCTTGCTTACAGTTGTGATTGGTCCACAGCAATCACTTGGTGCCTGGCTACTTCTACCGTGTGTGCTACTTCCTACCCGATGTGAGTAGCTGTAACCAAACACAGATTACAACCATAAGCAAGCTGTTGTGAATTTTAACCAATTACAGCAAAAACTATTGCTTATACAGTGATCACTGTATAAGCAATAACAGTGTAACAAGAAATCCCTGACCACCCCTCCCCCCCCCCCCCTTCCCCAGAGAAGTACAATGTCAATAAGGTGACACTGAACTACTCTGATGACAGGATGTACAAAACAACAGTAAAAGAAAAAAAATGTGAAAAAAACACTTTTTTTAATTTTCCCAAAAATTGTGGCAGAAAATAAAATTTTAAAAACTCACTATGCCTCTTAATAAATACCTCAGACTGTCTCCTATCCAAAAAGGGGTCATTTGGGGGGTATTTGTATTGTCTTGGCACTTTAAGAACTTCAAGAAATGAGAGAGGCCATCAGTACATCAGGGTTGATCAATTTTCTAACATACACTATTTTGCCAAAAGAATTGGGACACCCCTCCAAATCATTGGATTCAGGTGTTCCAATCACCTCCATGGCCACAGGTGTATAAAATCAAGCACCTAGGCATGCAGACTGCTTCTACAAACATTTGTGAAAGAATGGGTCACTCTCAGGAGGTCAGTGAATTCAAGCGTGGTACTGTGATAGGTTGCCACCTGTAGAATAAGTCAATCTGTGAAATTTCCTTGCTTCTAAATATTCCACAGTCAGCTGTTAGTGGTATTATAACAAAGTGGGACAGCAACTCAGCCATGAAGTGGTAGGCCACATAAAATGACAGAGCGTGGTCATCGCATGCTGAAGCGCACAGTACTCCGAAGTCTCCAACTGTCTGCAGAGTCAATAACTAAAGGCCTCCACACTTGGTGTGGCCTTCAGATTAGCACAACAACAGTGCATAGAGAGCTTCATGGAATGAGTATCCATGGCCAAGCAGCTGCATCCAAGCCTTACATCACCAAGTGCAATGCAAAGCAACAGATGCAGTGGTGTAAAGCGTGCCACCACTGGACTCTAGAGCTGTGGAGACATCTTCTCTGGAGTGACAAATCATGCTTCTCTGTCTGGCAATCCGATGGATGTGTCTGGGTTTGTGTAAAGTTTGATGGAGGGGGGATTATGGTGTGGGGTTGCTCTTCAGGGATTGGGCTTGACCCCTTAATTCCAGTGAAGGGAACGCTTGAGGCATCAGCATGCCAAGACATTTTGGACAATTTCATGCTCCCAACTTTGTGGGAACAGTTTGGGGATGGCCCCTTCCTGTTCCAACATGACTGCGCACCAGTGCACAAAGCAAGGTCCATAAAAACATGGATGAGCAAAGTTGGGGTGGAGGAACTTGACTGGCCTGCACACAGTCCTGACCTCAACCCAATAGAACATGTTTGGGATGAATTAGAGTGGAGACTGAGAGCCAGGCCTTCTCATCCGACATCAGTGCCTGACCTCACAAATGCACTTCTGGAAGAATGGTCAAACATTCCCATAGACCAGCGGTTCTCAACCTGTGGGTCGCGACCCCTTTGGGGGTCGAACGACCCTTTCACTGGGGTCGCCTAAAACGCATATTTCCGATTGGTCTTAGGATCCGAGACGCCGCTCCTCTATCTGTCTCCAGGCGGGTCAGCCCACATGCAGATACGCCCACATATGTGACAGGGTTGGCGCCATAATGTACTTATGTGGACCAGTCACACGTGTAAAGAGCAGCTACTGTGTTGAAAGCAGCAGTATTGGAGGTAAAACGACACTTCATGAATTATAATTACTGGGTAAATGTAAAATCATGTACTGTAAAATCATCAACTACTGCAAAAAAAAAAAAATATCTGTACCATGGGAACTTAATCTGGATGCTGATCGGTCTTTTTATATTCAGCTGTGGTTGATGTGAATACTGCCCCCTTGTGATAGTAACAGGTATGTAAAAAAAACAACACAGAGAATGGTAAATCATAGGAAACTTTAATGAACTGTATTGACTGAACTATTGAACTGTTGCAAAATGTAGCAATGTAGTTTACTGTTGTTATATTAAGACTGTTACCCATGCTACACCATGCTTCAAGACAAAATTTCATTTATTTGTAATTAGAAATAAATATTTCATAATATATAATTACATATTGTTTTTGTGATTAATCAATATGCTTTAATTATGTTCAATTTGTAACAATGAAAATACATCCTGCATATCAGATATTTACATTACGATTCATAATAGTAGCAAAATTACAGTTATGAAGTAGCAACGAAAATAATTTTATGGTTGCGGGTCATCACAACATGAGGAACTGCTGCCATAGACACACGCCTAAACCTTGTGGACAGCCTTCCCAGGGTGGGCCAACACAATATTGAACCCTGCGGACTAAGATTGGGATGCCATTAAAGTTCATGTGCATGTAAAGGCAGGCGGCCCAATACGTTTGGCAATATAGTGTATATACCATAGTTTGCAGACACTATAGCTTTCACAAAAACATATACTTATTGGGATTTTTCTTTTACCAAAGATATGTAGCAGAATAAGTGTATGAATAAAATTTTGATTTTATTATGTTTTTTTAACAGTAAGTAAACAAAGTAGAAAATTAGAAAACCACCAAAAGAAAGCTCTATTTGTGTGAGAAAGATATGAATCTCATTTGCATGCAGTGTTTCATGACTGAGCAATTGCCAGTTAAAAGTAGCACAGTGCTGAATAGAAAAAATGGCCTGGTCATAAAGGGAATAAACCCTTTGAGGTCAAGTGATTAAATGATTGTAAAGGCTTTTTTTTTTTGTAATAAACAGGTTTATACTTACCTTCTCTGTGCAATGGTTTTGAAGAGAACAGCCCCAATCCTCCTATTCTGGGGTCCCCCATAGGCACTCCGGGCTCCTCTTCTTGGTGTGCCACCATAGGAAGCTGTTTCCTTTTGCAGCACTCCTGCGGGCTCAATGCCGAGCTGCATTGTCCATAGACACAGACAGCAAGATTTGGCCCCACCCCCTGCTCTCCTCACAGGCTGTGATTGACAGCAGTAGGAGCCAATGGTTCCTGCTGCTGTCTCTGGGCCAGTGAGGAGAGCGAGAGACCATAGCTCTGCTGATCTTGGGTACATCATCAGATTGAGATCGGGCTCAGGTAAGTATTTAGGGGGGAGGGGGGGAGAGCAAAACATGAAAGCTTTTTTACCTTAATGCAGAGAATGCATTAAGGTAAAAAAAACTTGGCCTTTAAAACTACTTTTAGAGTTAAGTTGCACTTTAAGGTTATAATTGCTTTAAAGGTGAAGTAAAAGGCAACGTGAGCTACTAAACCGTTCTTTTGTTTTTAAAGGCATGCATCTAAAGGGGAGTGGGTGTACTTTCCTACATGCATTAGTACTGCCACACATTGCATAGATAATAAAACCAATAACCAGGCAAAATCTATATGTATTTTATCAGACTACAGTGAACTGAATTGTATTTGTTCTTTGGGTTACTGCATACTTAGCATGTCTGCATTGTGGTTCTTGTAGTTGGCGTTGATGAAAGTCAGTAATTCCTCACAAACATCAACTTTTACAAGTTGTGGTTTGGCAGCATATGTTAGCATGTTAACAGGCATTTCCCTCTTAACAATGCAAAAATGTTCATGTTAAATGAATCCAGAACTTGAACATGGTCATATTTATTTTTTCAAGTTTTAATTGTCTTGTATATGATGATGTTTTAAAAGAGATAGCATGTGTTTTTTTTATATTTTTTTTTTTTTCCTTTAGGTAAAACTTGTAGTCATTGACAGTCTTGCATATACTTTTCGGCATGACCTTGAAGACCTGTCTTTACGGACACGTTTGCTAAATACTTTGGCTCGGCAGTTGATCAGCATTGCTACTCATCGAAAATTAGCAGTAAGTACATCTCTTTGAACTGGTGCAAATTGATTAGCAACCATAATCAAAAAATATATTAATAGTTGAACACCAATGTAAAGAAAAGCAACGTCAGTAAACAAAGTTAACATAGGGTATGATAACCATGTGACCCTGGGTATCAATAGTATACACTTCTCAAGAAAATTAAAGAAACACTTTGAAAACACATCAGATCTCAGTGGGGAAAAATATGCTGGATATCTATGCAGATATGGACTGGGTAATGTGTTAGGAACAGAAGGATGCCCCATCCTTTGATGGAAATGAAAATTTTCAACCTACAGAGGACTGAATTCAAAGACACCCCAAAAATCAAACTGAGAAAATGATGCAGCAGGTTAGTCTATTTTGCTGAAATTTCATTGCAGCAAATCAAAATGGTACTCAGTAGTTTGCATTGCCCTCACCTTCTTGTATGCATGCCTGACAACGTCGAGGCATGCTCCTAATGAGACAACAAATGGTGTCCTGGGGTATTTCCTCCCAGATCTGGACCAGGGCATCACTGAGCTCCTGGACAATCTGAGGTGCAACCTGCTGGCGTTGGAGGAACCGAAAAATTATATCCTAGAGGTGTTCTATTGGATTTAGATCATGCGAGCGTGGGGACCATTCAACGGTATCATTTTCACATGAGGCCCGGTATTGTCCTGCACTAGGAGAAAACCCAGGACCAACTGCACTAGCATAGGGTCCAAGGATTTAATCGTCATACCTAATGGCGGTCAGGGTGCCATTCTCTAGCCTGTAGAGGTCTGTGTGTCCCTCCATGGATATGCTTCCCCGACCATCACTGACCCACCACCAAAATGGTCATGCTGAACATTGTTACAGGCAGCATAATATTCTCCTTGGCTTCTCCAGACCCTTTCACGTCTGTCACATGTGCTCTGGGTAAACCTGCTCTCATCTGTGAAAAGGACAGGGTGCCCGTGGCAGAACTGCCAAATCGGGTGTCCAGTGGCAAATGCCAATCAAGATCTGTCCTACTAAGCTCTGTATGCAAGATCAAGACAGTAGGTCCTGTAGCTTGGCCTACAGGGGTCGAACACGCCAATTAAAGATAACTGGTATATGTTTCAAAATGTAAATTCATGTCTTAACAAATAACCTAAAGATCTCCCAGTCTCATAAACTGAAGTGCTAGTGCAATTCTGTGTATGTATATACTGTATGAGAATATATTCATACCATACTAGTCATTTCAGAAAGCAAAAACAAATGTTGACAATACATGTATATAATTAATAATTAAATTATGACTAAAGACAAAACTTTTTTTAGTTTTGGACAGAGTGGAGAGGGATTGGAACCCCTCTCAGCTTTTATTCCTGTCTGTGCTCCCATTAGAGAGATTCACTCTATTTGTCCCGTTTGCCATTATCTTCTAACGTGAAAGTAAAAGAGAACCCCAAATATTGGGGTGACATCAGAATACTAATAAAGGGGAAATATTCCAATGGACACGCTAGTTCTGGTGACACATGTGGATTCCCTCATTTTGGAGGGAGTTCTTCTCACTTCCTGTTTTGGCTATGAGACAGGGGCTGAAGGGAAATCTTCCCAATGGGACACAGATAGCAAAAAAACAGTTAGGGGGGTATAACGTTAAAAATTACCCCTGGGACCTTTATGCCATAATGTACTAGTATGAACAGCATATTATGGCAGACTTACCTGCAAGCAGTCTTTGCTGTCATGGACGCTTCTATTTTCTCTCTCAAACTCTTCGGTAGCTTGACCAACCAGGCCATGATGTTGTCACTCCCACATATGCGATTGGGCTTAACATCATTATGGCACAGAGTGCTTCTGTAAATATACACTGAGCTACTCATGCATGGCTCAGGGTGCATCAACACTGACAGTCAGGCTGAAGCAGTTATTACAGAAAAGACCAATAGGGTCTCTTCTGTCATAGAAAATAAAATCCTACTTGGCATTGGCATGAAAGCCAGGCAATTAGCATTCTCAGGGAGAGCAACAGCAGCCTCCATTGTCTCTCAGTATATGTTTCTTTTAAAGGTTGTATGACTTATCCTTTTTAATTCATATCAAGTCTGTGACCAGGGGATTACAAAATATGATTGCCATATTGGATCTCTCAGAAGTGTAAAAAGTTTAGTAACAAATTGGACCTGTTATTTGCAAACCCAACTAGAAGTCCTCAAACTAGCCACCGTATTAAATAAATAATAAAGGCATTACCTTTTTTTTTTTCTCTTTTCTCAACTAAAGGTGATTGCTGTCACTTGTGGAGAATGTTACAGAAATATCTTTACAACATATTAAAGCGGAGTTCCACCCAAAAGAGGAAGTTCCGCTTTAATGCCATGTCCCCCACTCCCCATTAAGGATTGGCACCTTTGGGGAGTGGGTACCCGAATTTGACAGGTACCTGCGCCAACTTCCGCTTAAATCGCCTAGGCGATCGGAAGCGGAAGTTTGTCCTTTCTCCCCGTAGTCTTCTTGAATACGTGACAGGTCCCAGAAGACTACGGGCCATTCACAAAGCACAGCGCTTCTCCGCATGCACAATGGGCACCCGGCTGTGAAGCCGCAAGCTGTCAGTCGGGTGCCCACACTAAAGATGCCGGCACCGGGGAGAGAAGACGGCCTGTGAAACCAGCCGTGGTGAGGACAATGCTGGACCGAGGGACAGGTAAGTGGCTGCATTTTAATTGTCAGCAGCTACAGTTTTTGTAGCTGGTGACTTTTTTTTATATCAGTTGGAACTCTGCTTTAAAGGGACCATTACAGTAGCTGTATGAGATTTAAAAAAAATAAACATCCATACTCACCTCCTCCATGCTGCTGTATCTGTCCCATGTTAGCCCTAAGACTGAGCCATCTCCTGACTGCTAATCGATCAGCTGTCAGTTTGCTCTCATCAGAGAACGGTGACTGTCAGTCACTGCTCTCCAGTCAGCTCCTTCAGTGCTTACTGGAACACCAGGGTACTGAGGAGGCAGAAGGAGCTGGCTCCAGCACTCGGCTCCTTGCTCAAAAGTGGAGCCAGCTGTCAATCGGGTAGCTGAGTGGACCCCAACAGTATTGTCAGGATGCTTCCCAAGCCTTATCAGCTGGTTGGACTGTGGCCAACTGGACATACAAGTATTGACATTTTCTTAATAAGCAATAAATGCAAGCTCTCTCTGTAGCTGCATGAAAGTTATAATGTTCTCAGTAGAAGTCTTTTTATTGAGAGAGTCCTTTTCTCAGCAAAACTTACTCTAGTCCTTCTTTCCTGAGCACCTAATATGTGCTATTATTAGAGATTAGCTTAGCCACTGCTGAGAGGGGGTGCAGGGTGAGCTGAGCTCTAAGAGAACAACTTGAGCACAAATACGTATTAGGAAAACCAAAGCAGCAGCACACTGAGATTTAGCAAACGCTGTTGGTCAGCATGTTTATTTTATAATCCTCGCTTGCAACAGAACCTGATTAGCTGGCGCTTTTTTTTTTTTTTCCAATCTATGTCCTGTCGGGGAGATTTCCCTTCAGTTCCTATTCGATTGACAATCAGTATTTGCTTCCACTTTCACTCATAATGGTAAACAGGACACATATAAAGGAGAGGATGAATCTCCCAAAGCAATGAAAAAATTGATCATTAAGAAAAAAATGCCCTTTAGTTATTCTTTAACAAGCAGTAAATGAGCAGTAAAACAAACTGAAACTGAAGCTGAAACATAGTAGAGCAATTCATCCTGAAAGTTCAGTTCAGTACAGTCACTCTAGACTGTTCTCCACACTCTGCTTCCCTCTCCGAGAGCATCTGCTCAGTGATAATAATAAGGCTCCTTGCACACTGATTTAAAAAAAAATGCCAGTGCTCTTGGCAGAAAAAAATGCTAGTTTTGAGAATTTTTTTTATACTGGTGTTGAGGAGCATTTTGCGTTTTTTTTCTGTCAGAAAAATGCTCTCAAAAAGAGCAAATTGTTTTTTCGAATCTAAACATTGAGCTTAAAAAATGCTTCTAGACCACCTAATATGCATGGACACATAGGATAACATTAATTGCTTCTACAGGCAAAATGCTAAACTCTTCTAGGAGCATGTTTTTTTTAAGCCAGTGTGCATGGAGCAAGGTTAGAAGGCTGGAAGGTTGCCAAGTCACTACTGAGAGGCAGAAAGATGTGAGCTGCTGAAGTGAAAATAAAGTAATTCTGCTGTAAACCTGGAGGATGAGCTACTCCATAGTACCTTTGTCTACAGATGTAAGTAAGGGGTTTTTTTTTTTAATTTTATGTATTGGTTGTTTTTAATATGTTAATATCAGTATCCACAGCCTGGACCACATTTCGTTCTTTCCAAACAAAAGCCATTTTAAGAAATGGTTCTTGGTACCACTTTGAAAAACAACTTGAAACACATACACACTCTAATGTACCCACAGTGAGTGCCTTGTGTTCCTAGCCATCAGTCTAGATTTAGACTTACCTATGGGCCTCACTCAACCTTGCTGTGTTATATTACTCTTTGTGAGTTAATAATTGGTGCCACTATCTTGAACTCCTTTTCTCCTGTAAGCACACAATTACCCCTCTCCCCTGCCCATCAGATTAGACTGCACTCATAAAGAGCCTGATTTCAGCTTTCAGTTTGTGGGTTAACTCAGTATTAAAAGCAAAGTTAGTAGCAGATTTTAAAACGTTTTGAAAAAATTTGAAGTAACAAAAAGTGAGCTGCAGGTTTTTGTTTTGTTTTTTCTAACTATGATTGTTTTATTTGGGGTAATATTTGCATGTTGTTCTGGATTAATTAAATAAAAAAAATCTGTGATGGAAAACATTGACAGCAATAGTTCAGCATATTCTACTTCAGTTTGTACAAATATAATAGGCAAAATTTTAGATCAAGCAATTTGTAGAACGCTGAATGTTGTTGAAAAGGTTATAGTTATGGCTTAATTACACGGTGCTTACTGAGGAAATAGAAATCCCATCTCTAAATCCTTCCTCCCTAAGTAAAACCCTTCTTTTTGCATGCT